CTACGAAAGCTCCTTATACAATACTGTGAGAACACTGGGATGTTTTTATCCAGTTTTCTTGATTATCTTTGGTACTGTGGTCAAAGCCACTACTATGTTTGCAGCCGTAAAATTAGCCTCGTTGATGGTAGTGAAATTTTGTTGACCCATGGGCTTTGTCACACCAACGCAATTGTGCAAACAGGCGAATTATAGCCGTAATTGACCTAGCTGATAAGCAGGGTGTTGAGCAGGCTGTTAGGTCTCCAATCGATCGACAACCGCTGTCGCACTGACCAGCCTGTGTGAGTGGTTGAACCATTATCGTAGTAGTATCTCCTCTACTGACGAAGTTTGACTGGCTACTGGCTAAAGGTCATCGTAATCGGGGCCTAACGCGATGCAGTTTGATACTATTTTAAGACGGATTTGCGAAACAGTCACTTTGAACTTCGAAACGCTGCGGTTGGATCCGCTTCTGTTGAGCGATTCTCATTAGTCAGTTCACCACAACTTTTTTCTACCCCCCTCCAACCAATTAATAACCTGTCTTCCCACGCTCTTTCTGTATTGAAAGCAGGCAGACCTCAGTTTTACAACTTGCCGAGCTCGCAGACGGACGTTGATTTGGTCGATCGGTGAAACCGTGCGATTTGCGTGAGACAGCTATAGTTGGACCCGACTCGATAAGCACGAAGGCTGACGCACTGTTTCGTGCTCGCTACAGCTAAAGCCCAACTGATCGTAATTGTTCGGACATTGAAGACAGCTCAATCACTAATGTTTACCCGAGTAACCATGACCAGCGATGAGTTCAGCGCTCACCATATACTCCGAGCGATGCACTTTTTATTACATGGGTCATGGACCTATTCGAATAGTAACATTTGTTGAGCGGCCTGGTTTGGATTTGTTGAGGTGACCTTGGATGACCGGGCTGTTTTTCATCAATGGCCTAGCAACCACAACCAGTTCGCCTTAAATCTAGCTCGCCCATTTCTGGTTCAACCTGTAGAAGTGATAGAAACAAAACGCAGTCGATTCGTTTGGTATGAAGAGTTACTCGGTTTCAGAAAACGTATTCCTAAATAAAGAACGTAGACAATTTACACCACATTGCAGCGGACATTTTTCACAAGCTCGCAGTTAGTGAGCAGACTCAGCGAATATGTAATGGACACTTTGGAGACACTGGGAGTTAACCGTAGCAATCCCCTTGCCGAAATGCATGATAATTCGAGGAAATTAACATCATTATTTTTATATTGGATTTGTTAATAAGGGCATTTACAACCAGTCAGGTAGATTAGCTGATACATGGCGTGATGTTCGCATCACTCCAATCACTATGCCTCGTATCACCACCTGTTGAGCTAAATCAATCACCAAGGTAATGACTAAAATCGGCGGCGTGATGTCGAACAACGCTGATCATAATGAATGAATAGATCGGTTTCAGTATACACCGGCAACAGTAAAAACGCCTAACCTAGGGGGCCTTATGTGGTTCGCCACTCCAAGTCCCGGGGCTTAAGTTATCGGTTTGCATCACTGAACAGC